ATTTTCATATTCTCGAAATCAACTCTAATATAATGTAATTGTAATCTATGTTGAAAACTATAGAAAAATGCATTGCATAGAAAAGGTACATGCACCAAGCAGTGACAAAAATAATTTCAAAATGATGCGACGAGCATTTAAAAAAAATAATCTTAGATATAAATTAATCAAAATTATAAACAACGCATTTATTGACATCCCTGCCCCAAATGTATAACCCAACTGACGAGGTTTTGGTCCGATGGACGTGTTTTTACATCATAGTCATTCGGATCTGGATCTGAAAAGGGTTCGGCTATCAAATTTGGTTTTTGGTTAGGATCTGAAGCTGGAGGTTTCTCTGGAGTTTCATGGCGCTCATCCGCTATTGAGAACACCAGGCATACAGCCAAAACCATCAGGCCAATGAACTTCTTCATTTTTATGGTCGAATGACACCGATGTCCTTTGTTATTATTGTGGTTATAATAATAATAATAATTAATATAAATAATAATAATAATAATTAATAATAATAATTATTATTATTATATTATTTTTTATTTCATTTATCGGTATAGTTTCTAGCATATAGTGCTGATTCGAAGAAGATATCATTTTGTTTTTTGCGTTCAGCTAAGCAGCTTGGAAAGCAAGTACTTCCACGTAACCTTCAAACCACACGACGTACATGCAGTACACACGCACAGACACACGCACACACAGACAGACACACACACACACACACCAGAGAACACAAATACACGAGTTTGTTTAGTACATACCTCTTCATCAAATGCATGATGTGTGTAAATGATTTTTTTTTGAGATTTGTATTTGATTATTTATTATTATATTATTATTTATTATTTGTATTTGATTATTAAGATTTGAGATTGAGAGAGATGTGTCAGCGTTTGAACTCGACCAATCCGAAGTTAAGAAACTAATTATCGTTATCATATTCGTGATGGAGTAATTCGTATAAGATAATAGCAAAATTTATGATGAATCGAAATGTAACGCGACGATAATAGTAGATGATATTGAAATGATTAAAATTAAGAAGTTCTACATCACAGAAATACGTAGAGTAGTCTAATTAATTAGATAACCAGTTATGTCATCATTATTTTACTACTAAAATAGCAATTAGTAATCAAATTATTATCATTATTTATAACAAAATAACGGAGACTTACTTTAATTTCTAGAAATGGAAAATTTGATAGAAGAGCGAGTCAACTTTTTCCGATGACTTCTACCACTTGTTTTGTTTTAAGATTCAACCAAAAGCTGTTTAGAACTTTATATATATATATATATATATATATATATATATATATATATATATATATATATATATATATATATATATAATATATATATATATATATATATTGTAAAAAAAATTAATCATATATATAGAAATATATATATATGTTCATACACATATATGCAAGATATATGATCATATATATATATATATATATATATATATATATATATATATATATATATATATATATATATATATATATATACATATATATATATTGGAAGGAGACCATATTTCATACAATATTATATATATATATATATATATATACACGAACTTGTGTATAAACATATATGTTGCATATATTATAAATTGATTGTGTATATGTAGAAATTATATAGAATTTATATTAAACTTTTGATGATATAGCATCGAATAGAATTTAATTCAGAGAACCGATTCCCATTACCGACAAAACTCAGCCATCCCTATTTTCACCGCCACGTCATTTTAGGCATGCAAATTAGTGAATGTTTAACATTTGAATTTGTGCTGAAAAAATGGTAGATTATTTAACAAAAATTTTTGTTAACGATTTGCATTTATTCATCCCATTAGCATTCTCGAACTTTCGATCGATGTTTCGTTTCATTCAAATGACTTTGTGTCGGTTGGATGTGTAAATTTTTGAAAAGGTATTTTTTAGAAATTTTTATTCTAATTTTATTCAAATTTTGAATCCTGCATTTCAGATGTTTCCGTCACGTTCGTTGAAAAAATATTTTACTTTTTAAATTTTCAAAGTGTCCTTCTATCTGTTTAAACGTATCCTATCCTATCATATCTTGTCTTCTTCTTCTTCTTCTCTTTAAACCAAATTCAAACACGAATATATCATAATAATTGCTATCATTTGCTTTTTTAAATAAAAAAAACTAACAAATGCCTTTTTTAATAAATTTATTAATTTACTTATTATTCTATACACGAATGTTGGTTTGAAAGTCAAATGAAATAATGGGTATGTACTAAAAGGTAGAAAGGAGATACTATACTAACAGTCTGTTTAATAAGTAATAATAATAATAGTTAACTTCTGAAATAGTGATAAGTGCTATTATTTTTATTGTCTTAGTATTATTAACAGCAAATAAGGACATTATTAATTTAATTTTATAAAAACGAATTCTATATAACGTCTGATGGTGCAATCAATTGACTGTGAGTGGACGATTGGAGATTGATAGATTGGTGGTTGATTCAGTTTGGTGGGCTATGATACTAAATATATATTATGGAAAGCTTACTACCATAATTTTTTCATTCACTGATAACACTACACAACATTATTTTACATATCCATCTTCAGTCGTAAAATTTTTTTGAAAAAATTCGACAGTGCTTATAACTATTGTGACGATGACTAGCGATGTTGGTGAGGATGATGATAAGTGGTGATGATAATTTATGATGTAAATGATGATATGGTGATTACAATGATGATGAAGATATGAGGATGAAGACAATTCAGCAGACGACAAATAATAATTTTGTAAATGGTGATTCATTTATTTGTGAGTATCTCATGGCAATAAATTTAGAAAAAATTATTTTAAATTACCAAATAAAGGAAAAGATTTGTATGAAAAGCCAAAAAAACTGCTCCTTCTTGAAAGGCCAAATTTAGACGATTGGTATTCAGTGTTTTTTTTGGTAGATATCTTTTCATGGAAAATACAAACCATCAAGAAATAAAAAATTTGTCAACCTCTCATTAATTAGAAACAAGGCAAATGCACGGTAGGTAGGCAAAAAAAAAATTTCTTTCAATTCAATCGTTAAAAATTTCCAAAGACATATCCAATATTCGGGTATGCGGGTTGTGCATGTTATGAAAGTCTGCATGTTGATATACACGTCTGAATTTATGCATGCATATAAACGCAGACACGCACACACACACACACACACGCACAAACAGACACACACACACACAGACATACCAATACACTTTCTATTAAACCCTTAAATTATATACAATACAATACGCAAAAAGGAAAGCATTTTCATTAGGAGTAAAAAAAATACAAGTGCACATCTTCCAAATCTATAAAGATACAGCATGTTTATATACTGCATAAAAAACACCCACACAAACACACAGAAAACATATGACAACACAGATCACAACTACAGCAACATTTAAGTGGTATTATTTTTAGCGGGACTCATCAATTCAGGACTGCTGTCAAAAAAGTTGGGAGCCGAGAAGAAAAGGACTAGAGTGGCAAGGGCGAGGAAGGCAGTGAAGAGGTAGAAGCAGGTTCTGTCGATGACCATGGCTGCAAACTTCCAATCGCTCGTCTCTTCCGACATCTTTGTGTCTTCTTTGATCTTCCTCGTTATGAAGCGGATCTCATTCAGGATCATGAGGATCTCGCTTCGAAGTGTGGATATTCCTGGTCAGGTTGTTTTAGCGTTGTAGCTGAAATTACACGGCAGTACGTTTCGTCGTACAGTAAATGAATATGAACAAAGAAAATTAAGTAATTAAATTTGCACCTAAGTAATCATCATCGCTCTCAGCTCCGGCTGCACCAGCCGCGTTAGAAGTGACGGCAGCAGCGCCAGCAGTGACTCCGGTGGCCACATTGTATTTGAAGTATCGTTGATTGAGTTGGATGGTGTTGTCGATGTCTTCTACGTTGGCCAGCAGACTCTGCGACGGAGGAATCCGACATTCAAGTTCTCGTACACTGGCCTTACGCCGAAGTTTCTCAAACGTCAGTTCCTTGCCTGGCCGTGACATTCTGATTAACCAGGCCAACCACTCGCATATGCCTGTGCGGATCTTAATTTGAGGATTGGTTTATTCGTTTGAGTTTACTGCTTGCATTATTCATCAAGCTCGTCATTTCATCCTCATCACCGTCACCAACGTCATCACAATCTTCATTTTTAACACTTTCTTCATTTGACAAACGTACCCAGGAAGGCATCTGCCTCATGTCAGGCGAGCTGTGGTGGAAGATGAGCACAATGACCGTTGAAGTTACCGAGATGGTGGACATGGCCATTACGACTAAGAAGTATACGCCTGGTGATAAGAATGATGATGATGATGATTATTATTATTATTGTTGTTATTATTATTATTATTATTATTATTATTATTATTATTATTATTATGATAACGATGGTGTTAATGATGAAGGTGATGGTGATGAAATGTAAAAAAGTGACAGATGACACAACAAACAAACATGCAAGCAAGTAAGCAAGCAAATGAACGAAAGAAAGAGAGAGACAGCAGGAAAACAACTGCAACCTGCCAGCGGAACAGCCATGGATGTTGGAGGCACCATGTTAGCCACGATCGTTTGGAATACAGAAAGTGAAAGAAGAATGGTAACTCCTGAAGAAGCAAATGAATGAATGAATGAAAAAAAAAACAAAAATCGAATGAATGACTAATAAATTAATGAAAGTGAAAACTAAATGAATGTCAAATGAACGAATTAATTTAAGAAAAAATGGCGGAACGAACGAACGAACGAATGAATGAGAAAATGACTAAAATTGCAGACCTACCCAGTCCAATTTTTTCACCAGCATCTGGAGGCAGAATAAAAGTAAGTAAAGATAAAAGCGAGATGAGGGCACAGGGTATGATAAGGTTGAACCCGTAGTAAAGGGTCCTTCTTCTCATGTGAAATTCAAAGGTTATGTCCAAGTATGGACTTCCCGGGCAGCAATCGTACGACTGTGTATTTCTAATTCCTTTAGCTTCTGTTGAAGTATGTGTTTGCTTGTCTGTTTGTTTGTGGTTTTTATTATATCAGTCTGTGATAGTCTGTACGTTTGGCTGAATTTGCTAAGACTTTGTTTATTATGTCTGCGCATGCGTGTCTGAATGTTTGCGTGCTTCACCAACGTCACCATTATCATCACATCACCAACATCATCATCTTCATCACCATCACAACGAACTTAATAACTTCCACTCTCCACTTAGCTGGTATGTGGATATATCGACATCTTCTTCAACCTTCCCTTGCGTCAGATTAAGTTTGCCGCCTGGCCCATTAAAGATTAATAATGATAACAAATTCATAAAAATTGTAGTTTTAACAAAACAACAGCAACACATACTCTCAGTGTCTTGGATGACATGATGAAATTTAATATATTGCAATTTGACGATTAGAACATGGCGTAGGTGACTACTAGAGCAACGTAGTAAGTAGAGGTCGATCGAGACAACTTGGATGGCAGGTGACAAAATTTTAAAAATTCTCAATTTTGAAATTTGACAAGGGGACCAAGAAACTAACAAAACTAGTGTGACTGTAATTAGGCTAGTAACCTATTTAGTTCGTTTATTTAATTTTTTGTCGGTTTTTGACTAAAAACTAAGTTTTAATGAATTTTAATAAAAATATTGCTCACAACGGGGTCAAGTCCTCTACTGCCCGACTACCAGCTTAATTCACTATGACAGCGTCAGATTTCCAAAAACATCGAACTATAGTGCGTGTTCAGTAATATATAATGACAACATTTCGGTACATTCAAGATATTATGTATCAAAAGCGTCGAAAATCTCATTGCCAATTTATACTTTTTCATTCTCAGACTACCAGCTTAATTTACTATATCAGCGCTACATTTCCAAAAATAATCATATCACAGTGCGTAGTTCGTAATGATAACTATTCGTGTCTGAAAACTAAAAATGACAAATATTCCTGTCTTAAAACTGAGTTTTACTGGCTTTTAATAACAGCACTGCTAACAACGAAGGGCCATGGTCTCCAGGGCCTCTTTCGAGAAGCGTCACCGAATATATGAAACAAACTTGATACAAACTTAGATCGCAGGCACATATTTAAAAACAGCATGAAAAGCAGCTACAAAACCAAATTATAAACAACAACATCTGTAAGGAATAAGCAACAAAGCATCAACAACAACAACAAACCGTCATAGGTCCAAGAACCGAACTTCATAATGCACTTTTGGTCATCAAACGGAAACCATCTTATGTTTATTGGGCACGATGATGTGTACAATCCTAACGAATAACAAATAATTTTATGCGAAAATTACATATTTCTTTACACCGAAGCGACGAAATAAATAATTATAACAATACTTGAAGGAAGAATGATAATAATATGGAAAAACAGCAACAACAATGAAAATATTAATAACAACCAATAGGAATCCAGTTACAGGAACCATCGCTATTGACGATGACGTTTGTCCACAATTTGCTATCAATCGATTGGTCGGCGCTGAATTAGGGGCGGAATCATTAATTATATAATTAATTTAATGAATATTCATTATTCATTCAGCAAGACTAGGTGATTCAACCGTGGCACCGTCTTATCTTGTCGTGAAAATTATTTGATGATAAGAAACCTGTTGTAGAGAAGAATGTCCGGTGTCCATATTTGTTTGGAGGGAAGCCTGGTTTCCCTAAGACCCCCGTAATCGTCTGGGTCCCATTTCAAATTCCAATCCCTCCAGTCCTGATGATGACGTCATGATGACGTAAGACGAGATGATAATGGTGGCGATGATAATGATAATTATGGAATGATGGAGATAACAGTGATGACGACGAGATGATGATGATGATGATAATTACGAAAGGACAACCACGATGATTGTAATGATGATAACAATTAAAAAATTATGACGACGACAAAATGATAACGCTAATTAGGAGATTATGATGATGATTATGATAATGGCTTTGTTAGGCAAACAAACAAATGAATTAAGTTTAAAGTATTATGGTTTATGGTTATCATTGATGGATATTTTGGCAATGGCAGAAACGGTACTTACGATAACAACACACTAATGATGATGCTACTGTAACTACTGCTATCGCTACTACTACTACTACTGCTGCTGCTACTACTGCTGCTACTACTACTGCTGCTGCGACTACTGCTGCTGCTACTACTGCTGCTACTATTACTACTAATGCTGCAGCTACTACTGCTTTTACTACTACTGCCTACCTATGAATTAAGTTTAAAGTATTATGGTTTATGGTTATCATTGATGGATATTTTGGCAATGGCAGAAACGGTACTTACGATAACAACACACTAATGATGATACTACTGTAACTACTGCTATCGCTACTACTACTACTACTACTACTGCTGCTACTACTGCTGCTACTACTACTACTACTACTACTACTACTGCTGCTGCTACTACTGCTGCTGCTACTACTGCTGCTGCTACAACTACTACTAATGCTGCTGCTACTACTGCTTTTACTACTACTGTCTACCTACCTACCACAACAACTGTTACTGTTGTTTCTAACAATAATTATAATAATAATAAGTAGCAATATCTTTGTTTACTTACGTATGTTAGCCATATGTTTGTGTGTAGCATTTCATTTTTTTCATCCTGTTGATAGTATTATTATTATTATTTATGTTTATTATTATTTATGTTGATTGAATTATTATTAATAGTAATATGATAATTTTTACATCCAATCATCTAATACCTTCATTACATTCCAACTAATTCTTTCTCATTCCAGTTCCAATCAATCGGTGCGACCGTTCATCAAATTTATCTTTACATTCATCCATTTATGCATTCTTTCATTCAGTTATTCTCTCATTTATGTTTATTCATTCATTCAATCATTCATTAATCCAGATTAATCAACCTATTAAATAAAACAAATTGGTTTAATAATTAAGTCCGTCAGTAAATTAACCGAAGTGAAATGGAAAATAATTTTTTTTGAAAATTTTGTAATAAATCATTGGAAAAATTTACTTATTTACCAATTTTGTTCAGCTCATTCAACGTACGCATGTGAAATTTTTTTTTCACAAACTCGGTATTGATTGTTTGATGAAGTGAAGTACGAAATGAAAACTGAAATCCATATTAAAAGCATAAAACCTATCCAGTTTTTTGGCCGCATCGTATGTAAGCTCCGAGAAAGCAATCAGCAAGATACAAACCAACGAACCCATCATTCAATCTACCAACTAAGCAACCAACTAAGCAGCCAACCAATTATTCAATCCACCAACGAACCAATCATTCAATCTACCAACTAAACAGGCAACCAATCATTCAATCTACCAACTAAACAGGCAACCAATCATTCAATCTACCAACCAACCAATCATTCAATCTACCAACCAACCAGCCAGCCAATCATTCAATCAACCGACCAACCAGCCAGCCAACCAACCGACCACATCAATGATCTGTTGCAGGCTGATTTTGAATGAAACTTCCAGTGTATCATTTTCATTTTCGACAGGCCTACTCATTGGGTTGTAACCTCTCTTCGTGAAGATGTGATTGATCAGGCGGTCTTCATGAAGGCCACACATAACCACTATAATTTTGTATAATAAAATTTATTATTATGCAATTATATTATTATTATTATCTTTATGCTATAGCCTCTATAATTTTAATGTTATTTAGTTTATGAATAATTTATTTGTGGTCTGAAATAGTATTATTATGTCGTTTTAATTTCATTCCATATATCTAGTATGTATAAGTTACTTAATTTTTGTATTTGGTGTTAATGTTATAATTGATGTTGTTGTTGTTGTTGTTGCTGCTGCTGTTTTGATCTTATCTTAAGTATGTTTTAAGAATTAGAATCAATGTTGATTCGCCTTACGCTCACAAACTTCCAGCCTCTCTAGATTTCATTGATGTTCCAGCGATGTTATTATTATTGTTTTCATATTTTTTTTAGAATGTTCTAACAACAATGTTTTTTTTTGTTCTCAACTTCTTTTTGCCAGTTCAAACGAATGAAATCCATTGCGTAATGGTATTGCACGGGTTACGGAAAAAAAAGTAAGTTGTTGTTGTTACCTTCTGTTGTTCTTACTAAACCATTTTTATTTCGATTTCATTTAATTTTATGTTTGTTAACTCGAAACATCTTCTCTCTCTCTCTCTCTATCTTTTTTTTACTTTCTTTTTGTCGTTCTCTCTTTCTCTTTTTTTTATATTGTTAACCATATCTCAATAGTAATCATTGTTTCTATGATATTTTCTTACTTTTTTTCTTCTTTTTTTTCTCACCATTACCCACAACACACTCGCTATTTCTTTATTTCACGTACACACAGACACACACAAAAAACACACACAGACAAACACACAGACAGACAGACAGAGGGATTGGCAGATAGTTAGAAAGATGTATGTATGTATGAATAGATGGATTGATATGTAATTGTTTACATACCAAACTTGCAAATTTGACGGATTTGTTATTAAGTTATATACATACTTACTAACATACATACCCACACACATACATACATACATATATACAAATATGCATACGTATATAATATAATATATAATTATATGTATAATATATATATATATATACTATAAATAATATATATATACATATATTAATTAAAGTGATAATAATGTATATATATATTCCTTATTATTTGATGTATTATTAATTAATTAAAATTGAAGAAAGACTACAAATATATATATGTATATATATATATTTGTACTCAATATCTCAATCGATTTTCTAATATACATTTATACTTTGTAAGCTGTGTATGTGAGTATGTGTGCATATGTATGTATGTGTGTGTGTGTGTGTGTATATGCGTGCGTGAGTGTGAAGAGTAAGTTTTATGCCTTACATCTGCTCATCTATATTGATTTCGATGTTGTTTTTATTATTATTATTGATGATGATAATGACGATGACGAAGACTGATGACGACGACGATGTTTATTATGATGATGGTGATGATGTTGATGAAGGATGACAACAATGACGATTTTGCAGATGTATGGTGATGTGGATGATGGTGATAACACACCATGGCAATGATAATTAAGTTGAAGATGACGACGATGATAATTGGGAGGAAGATGATGATGAGGATGAAGATGATGGAGAAGAAAATATTGATGATGAGGAGGAGAAGAAAGAATAAGATGAAGTTGAAGATGATAATATAATAAGATAATAATATCTGATCCATTTCTTATTTTAAACTATTCGAAGTTTTTATTGATTGATCGTAATGTAATGTTCCTGCTTGTGCACGTGCGTGTCACACTAGTTATTATTATTATTTTATTATTATTATTTTATTATTATTATTTTATTATTATTATTATTATTGTTATAATCTAATTAATTGTTGGTATTATTACTATCATTTTTCATATTTTTCATTTAAATAGCGTTCATTTCATGGCTCCTTAATGCTTTTGTCAAGTTGCATTTTCTTATTTGCCTTGTACAGGTATGACGTTTAACATCATCATAGTCATCGTCAATTTTACGATATGCATGCGCACACATACCACACATACACACACATATACACACACACATATACACACACAACATTACCACACACACACAAACAAACACACACATACAAAAACAAATATTTTAATCCAAACTCTGAAATGCCCCACATACGTGCGTTCAATTTTCCGAAAGATTTCAAAAAGTACTGGTTAGTTCAAACTAAAAAAAAACACATACCCACCCACATACACAATCATGTGTGTATGTATGTGTGTATGTATGTATGTATGTATGTATGTGTGTATGTATGTATGTATGTATGTATGTATGTATGTATGTATGTATGTATGTATGTATGTATGTATGTATGTATGCACGCATGTATGTATGTATGTATGTATGTATGTATGTATGTATGTATGTATGTATGTATGTATGTATGTATGTATTTATGTATGTTTGTAGGTATGTATGTATGTATGTATGTACGTATGTATGTGTGCGTGTATTTGTTTATCTGTATGTATGTGTGTGTGTTTGTATGTATGCATGTTTGTATGTGCGTGTGCGTAGAAAACGATACTCCACAATACTAACAGTGAGTCGAACAGATAGCTATGAAGATGAAGATGTTAAGGGCTGTACATTTTATCACAACATCATTTCGGTCTGGTGGAATTGAAATTTTAAATTTGTTATTAAATGCATTTTTAATTAAAAAAATGAATAATCGAATGATCAAATTATCTCGCTTATACAATTTACATTTAGTGAATGACAGCATTTTGCACGTTAAAACAAGGATATATATATATATATATATATATATATATATAATATCCTTGCGTTTAAATGCGTATCGATAATGATTTTTACCTTTTTTCAAACCAATCATCGTCGTCGTCGTCACCATGGTTGGTGGTGGCGATAATTTATGATGATAAAAATGCTGGCGATGACGACGACGATGATGATGATAATAATAATAATAATAATAATAATTTTTGCAGTAATGATGACGATGTTTCTCTAACAGAATTCTGTACATCAGTGTGTTAATTATTTCACGTTAAAAGACCGTATCTAGTTTTTGCTTTGTTCTTTTTTCATTTCTTCAATTTTTCTTTCTCTTTCTCTCTCTCGTTCGTATATGCTTGCTTGCGTGTGTGTGTTTGTGTGTGTGTGTGCGCGCACGCGCGTGTTAGCAGCTTTGTTATGTATATCATAATATCACACGGCGGTATGTTTATCTATGAATGTAAAAATTCTTTAAAAATAAAATTATTCATTTTAATCGTTCATTTATTTATTCGTTCTTTCTTGTTCATTCGTTCACTCGTTCGCTCATTTATTCATTATTTTACCATTCGTTCATACACTCATTCGTTCATTCATTTTTTCATTCATTCATTCATTCATTCATTCATTCTTTCGTTCATCCATCCATCCATCAATCAGTACATCTCACCCACTAAAAATCTCAGCAACAAATGCTTTTAAATGTAAAAGTTTGTTTATCCTTTTTGCTTTACTTTTTAAACAATGTTATGTTTATGTTCGTGTTTGTTTGTTTGTTTGTTTATTTATTTGTTTTAATCTTTGTTTGTTTATGTGTTCATTCTTTTGTTTATATATTGTCTATGTACGTTTGTTGAGATGGTGATACTATACGGAACATAGAGAAAAGAACGCAATTATAAACAAAATAGTAGGATAGGAAACAACAACAACATAGACAATAGAACTATATTCTTAAACATCGCCAACAGCAAAAACAACGTAGACATAAACAACAATAACATAGATAAAAAAACAACCACAACAAAGTTAAAACAACAACAACATAGCAACAACGACGACATAGACAAAATAGCATCACTATGAAACAAGTAGAGAAAAAAAATCTCTCATGGCAATAAAATTAAGAAAAATTGCCCATAAAAGCAACCAAGAAATACCAAAGATAACATACTACAAAAATAAACATTTAGTCATATATTATTGTTTATATTATATTATGTATGACGATAATACAACTATAATAATAATAATACATTTTTTTATCGATATCACGCACACACACACACACACACACACACACACACACACACACACACACACACACACACACACACACATATATATATATATATATATATATATATATATATATATAACAATAATAACACTATACAAAACACATACCAAAAGCATACAAAACACACACAAAATGTATTTAAAACACAAACAAAATGTATAAAAAACACACACAAAATGTATAAAAAACACATTCAAATAACGACATTGAGAGTAATCAAATTACATTTCTCCATAACACCATCACTAAAGCTACAGAAACAAATACTCCTAATTCTGCTTCCTATAATGTTGCAGCCACTACTATTGCAGCTGTCGTTGCTACTACTACTACTGCTCTAGTATTACGTTTTTTTTTGTCGCCTCTAATACTACTACTACATTCACTTCACTATTACTTCTACTCATACTGAGATTGCTTGTAACACTACTATTACTATTATTGCGTTTACTAATATACTAGCTAGTTTCACAGCTACTACTTCTAATATTAATACTGCTGTGGCTACTACTGTGACCACTGCTACCACTGCTGTTACTAGTGCTGTGTTTATGTTAACAATATCATTATTTCTTCCTCATTTTGACGAAAACGAAAGGGTAAATCTTGTGTTTACAAGATTATCAATTTTTTAATAAAACATAAAAATTATTATCAATAATTTGTAGTAGTGGTAGCCTGGTAGCAGCAGTAAAAACAGCAGCTGCAACAACAACGACAGCAGCTGCAGTAGTAGTAGTAGTAGTAGTAACGGTATCACTATCATCAATGAAACATTACGAGAGAAAAAAACTTACAAGTCTCCGACAACATGCTTTCCAATGCTCCACTCAACAACTGCACCGATAATAATTATGAAGATGCATGTACGAGTTACATATATATTACGATCTTATTATTACTATTTTTTATTATTTGTTATTATTATTATTATTATATTTTGATTAATTTATATTTTTATGGTTATTTAGGTGCTTGTATGTGCTTTCTCTTAACGATTATGATCCATCCTTGGCTTAAAAATTTAAATTATCAGTCAATTGATTATCAATTAAAAAAGAACTCAATAAATTCAATACTTTATTTTCAATAAATAAACATTTAAAAATAAAAAAATCCACATAGATAACTCTATCTAAATTATTATTATCATCATCAGCAAAGCATACAACATCTTCATCAAAAAGCATCTTTATCATTGCACAGCGGCATTGTACACATACACACGTACATCCACACCTACATCCACACATACTATACATATGTATAATATATAAAATATACATGCATGCACGTACACACGCACGTACCTACATACATACATACATACATACATACATACATACATACATACATACATACACTACTCTATAGTGTTATATATGTAGATCAAAGTGTTTTTTTTGTGGTATAACATTTAACACACACACATGTTTGTATATACTATAAGATATACTATATATATATTTGTATGTATATATAGATATTACTGTTGCGTAACATATATGATAACATCATATATATTTCTGTATAATTAAGTTAAATTATATTATTTCATAGTAAAATTATAGAAAAATAGTTCATGCATTTTTTATTTAAAATTGTTGAAATCGTTAAGCTTTGAAACATTACCTTTTTAGAAAGAACCATTTTTGTCAGCTATACCACCTTAGCACTCAGTATTATATAATATATGGTCTAGAGTCCATTGGGAGATATCGTTTAGAGTTTGTCTCGTCTAGAGTCCAAGTACTACTGCTGCGACCACTGCTATTGCTAATAATGTTGATGTTAATAATACCATCCACTTAGTGTGTTTAACTTTTTTAACATATTGAACAGAGTTTAATAATCAAAATATGCTATAATAAGTTGAAAAAAATTCAGCATCATAAAAAAAATGATATTGCTAGGTGGTTATGTCTTTATTTATGACTGAATGTTTTTGAACGAATTCCAAGCGTTTAATTTTTGAAATTCATTCCTTTTTACTGTCATTATTGATGAATTATTCAGCAAATGTTACTTAAACTAATTTCTTTGGGGTTTAGAATCAACTTTTTAAACTATTTATACGTTTTCCACGTTATTACTTTTAAGAATTGTGTAAAGGCATGATTCGAAATATATTACGGCCATGCTGACGTTGCTTGTAATAAAATACCGGCAGATATCTGTGTCATAAAATAAAAAGATTTATTTATGAAAAATTACAAAAAGCTTATATTTTTTAGTTAATTTATGAGCAAGAAAAAGAAATATTAGATACCTTTTTAACAACGAATATGAACTGTTAAAATATAACAGTTCGTAAATTTCTATCTGCACGTTGTTACTACTCCAAAAATGTCTGAATTTGAGATAATCTATTATCCTATCTTCATTTTTTCATACTGCTGGTAAATCATTTGTTTGTTAAACGAATGGTTTGTCAGACGTGTTCATGAAAATTCATTTCTTTCCAATCATACTTAATGTAACCTAACTTTAGTAATACATAATTAGACAAACTTATTTTTACTTATTTAAACTTTAAACTTATTTATTATTCTATAGACAAACAAAATTACAGGCATAATTAGACAAGTAAGACAAACTATTCGGTCGGTTCTAGATAGTAGGATCAAAAACGTCGGAAACTCCATTACCAAATTATACATTTTCATTCTCAGGAAATTAAGTACTACATGAATCTCAATGAGTTTTACTGACTTTTAATAACAGCACTGCTCACAGTGGGTTTCAAGCAATTGAAGAGTAATAGGTAAATTGAACTCAACGTTGACAAGAGAGCATTTGGGTTGTTTTATAATAATCCTCAAACAATGTACTAGCTGAGGAATAACGTAGTATCTAGGATATAATACAGATGATAGAGGCGACTAAAAATTTGTCAATACAATATCTAAGATATAATGCAAAATCCATCAACAACAACATGCAGTATGCATAATAATGGAACATCTGAGATAACGTCGTACCCAAGGAACAATGTACTAAAATATAAAGTAGTATCTAAGATATGACGTAATATATATCTAAGATATGACTTGGCAATCAAGATATGATGTAGTATTTAAGGAACAGTGTAGCCTACCATCTAAGATATAATGTAGCATCTAGGATATAATGTAATATCACGTAACATCTTGGATATAACTTTGTTTCTAAGATATAACGTACTATCTACAATATAACGTAGTATCTAAGATAATGTGTAGTATCTAGGATATAATGCAGTATCTAAGATATAATGTTCTATCTGGGGTATAATGCAGTATCTAGGATATAACGCAGTATCTAGGATATAATGTAGTATCTAGGATATAATGTAGTATCTAGGATATAATGTAGTATCTAAGATATAATGTTCTATCTATGGTATAATGCAGTATCTAGGATATAACGCAGTATCTAAGATATAATGTAGTATCTAGGATATAATGCAGTACCTAGGATATAATGCTCTATCTAGGGTATAATGCAGTATCTAGGGTATAACGCAGTATCTAGGATACAATGTAGTATCTATGATATATTGTAGTATCTAGGATATAATCTAGTATCTAGGATATAATGTAGTATCTAGGATATAATGTAGTATCTAGGATATAATGTAGTATCTAGGATATAATGCAGAATCTATGATATAATGTTGTATCAGTCCAAATCATACATACATTGAGCAGGACATCACTGAATTTGCACTAAATTGCTCTTAGTCAAGTTGCAACCAACAACAAAACATGCGTTTCGTTAAATAAGTGTATGATAAATTTTATTTAAAATGATTAGTCATTTATTCGTCGTATTTTATTTCAGATGAAAATCGTCGATAGTTGAATTTTAAATCTTTGATTTCAATTTGATTTTATTATTTGATTTCAATTTTTTAATAAATAAAAAATGGTGTTTGAAAGTCTGGTGGCTGATCTTGTCAACAGGTTTCTTGGAGATTTCATTGAAAATTTGGATAAATCTCAGTTATCTATCGGCATTTGGGGAGGTTTGTATTGTTGTTTTTAACACTATTTATTTAATTTATTATTAAAAAACAAAATTGATTTGCAATATTAATTAAAATGACATTAAATTATTTATTTATATTAGTCTTAATTTATATTTCATTTTTAACTTATTTTAGTAATTTAGTTTATTTATTATCTTATTAGTGACTAAATATGTATTATATGTAGTAGTAGTAAAGTCAGGTATAATTTAAATTTTAATTTCAAGTTATCTTTCTAATTGTATTAATAATTTAATAGATAATATAAAATAAATATATAAAAATTAAAAAATTAACTCAGTTTTTTATTTTAAACAGGTGATGTGCAGTTGAACAATCTTTATGTCAAAGAAAATCTCTTTGTAAGTTTATAATATAAAATTATAAACTTTATAATTTTTCAACTCATTTGTTTTATATATATATATATATATATATATATATATATATATATATATATATATATGTATATATATTATTTTTATTTCATTAACAATTTAATTAAAATCTATTTCAACTGATTGCCATTTTAAATTTTAAATTGCCATTTTATTTTTATTGGTATAAACATCTTGTCTTATATCTAGCTCACTTGAGTTATTCATTATTTTTAATTTTCAAAATTATTTCTCATAAATATTATTAATAATTCGTTAGAGACTAATAATCCATTAATTGCTTATTTAATTGGTTATTTATTTATATATAGAATTAATTGATTAATTGATAGGATGATTTGGACCTTCCAATCAGAGTTGTGTATGGCAATATTGGTAAGAAGTTTTTTTTATATTCATGTGACTATAAAATTATAATATGGCAATAATATTTATAATAATTATATCAATTTATGGATAGAATTATTTTTAAATATTATTTAGAACTAATTAATGTGATGATATTATGTGAGGGTAACATTTTTTTTGCTTAGTGAAAGATAATTATTTTTGTTTTAAGTGTCCTGTAATTGTTATCATTTTTGCCATTCAAATTTTTTTCATGCATAGCAATCTCTCTCACTCTCTCTCTTTCTCTGTCTGTCTGTCTTATCTATCTATCTATCTATCTATCTATCTATCTATCTATCTATCTATCTATCTATCTATCTATCTATCTATCTATCTATCTATCTATCTACCTACCTACCTACCTACCTACCTACCTACCTACCTACCTACCTACCTACCTACCTACCTACCTACCTACCTACCTACCTACCTACCTACCTACCTACCTACCTACCTACCTATCTATCTATCTATCTATCTATCTATCTATCTATCTATCTATCTATCTATCTATCTATCTATCTATCTATCTATCTATCTATCTATCTATCTATCTATCTATCTATCTATCTATCTATCTATCCATCTGTCTGTCTCTCTGTCTGTCTGTCTAGCTGTCTGTCTATTTGTCAATAATCTGTATATCTATCTATCTTTCTTTCCTTTTTGTTTTTCATTTTCTTGTTTTTTTTCTAGGTTTCATTCTTGCTCACCACCACAATCTTTTTTATAAGTGGTTGTTCAGTTTATTTGTTTGCTTATGTATGATGATTCCTATGATAAGCCAACCAGGATAGTAGGGCATTTATATTTGATAATGTTTAGAATTTGAAATTTGATAGTGCTTATAAAGGGGTGAGGATTTGCTGATGACATTAGTGATGATATTTAAAATCAGGGATGTGGTTATAAAATCTAAACAATGATAATTATGATGATGATGGTGGTGTTGGTGATTGATTATAAAAAACAAATTGTGAATAAACCAACTGAAAATGATGACTGTGGATGTTGAATTTTATATTAGTGATAATTTGTGGGGCAACAAATGCATAGATAAAATGATGATGCCAATCAGTGATAATAAAACATTGATACATCTCATGTTGAGTATGCCTATGACTAAGAAAAATATGATGATAATGATGAGGAAATAAATATATGATGATAACAATGACAACAACGATTACCATTTTACATTATTGATTTATCTATATGAAAAAAAATCTTAGGTGTATTCACAATGTTACACGCTTTTGTTACATTATTGTATATTATACTATGCCACTACACACACGCACACATATATACACGTACACACATACACGTTCACACACATACACATGCAAACAAAGTGACTCATATTCATTTTATATTTAACATGTACTATCCCAGAATCACAGAACTTTCCAGGATTTTTTTTCTCTTAAAAGTTCATAGTTTTAACAGGAAAACAACTTTTTTCACAGCAAAAATTTGTCACATGTTATATTTTCATTTTACATTGTTTTTCGGTTTTAGGTACTTTTAAATGTTTATCCAACTAAATTTAACAAAGAATTGGTAAAATACAATACAATCATTAATGTTATATACATGTATGGATTTAATAATATTTATGTATGCGTATGTATGTAATGCAATGTGTTTACGTATGTATGCATATATGTATGTGTATCTCTCTGTGTACGTGCGTGTGCCTATAGTACATTTTATCATTGATTTTTGAACATTTGTTCTCTGATGTGTCATCATCATTTTTTTCTCTGTGAGTTACTCATTCTAAAATTAGAATAAAAAGTTATTGTGTGTGTACGCATGTGTGTGTGTGTGTTTGTGTGTGTGTGTGCTTTTATTTGTTATATGTATATGTATTATTAACCTTTAAACTGCACACATGTTTGCATACAAACTCTGCAACTGGAAACATACATACATACATACACACACACACACAAAGAGATACGCAAGTATGTGTGTGTGTGTGTGTGTGTGTGTGTGTGTGTGTGTGTGTGTGTGTGTGTGTGTGTGTGTGTGTGTGTGTGTGTGTGTGTGTGTGTGTATTACAAGTTGCGGTCCATTCATCTGTGAGTGTAACACTTCTCTCAGATACAATGGTATTGATTTTAAATAACCTTCTGCTGTTATTTATTTATTGGTGGTTTGATGTATGATTTCAACTAATTATTTAATTAACCATTAAGTTAATTATGTGATTGATTAATGGTTGGTTGGTTGATTGATTGAATGATTGATTGATTAATTGATTGAATCAATCAATCGATTGACTGGTTGATATAATTTCGGAAATAAAGGTCAGTTAAAGCTGAAGATACCGTGGAAGAACTTGTACACGGAGCCAACAATTGCTCTGTTGGATGGTCTCTACATTATTGCTGTACCCAACTCAAGTTCGTTCCTTTGATGTCTTTCGTTATTTGGCTGATTAGTTGATTGTTTGGTTGACTGATTGGTTGACTGATTGGTTGACTGATTGGTTGATCGGTTGTTTAGTTGGTTGGTTGTTTGGTTTCACATTTATCTCATCTATCACATTCACCAAATAAATCAACCGTCACATAGGTCAGCCATCAGATCAACCAGCCAACTTACCAACATTTGTTTATTTAATTGATGTGAATTCAATCGTTCATTCAACCTTTCAACTATTTCATCGACCAACCAATCAATCAACCAACCAACCAATCATCCAACCGACCAACCAGGCATTGCATACGATGAAGCCAAGGAGCAGAAAGCAATGTGGGAGGCGAAGCAGAAGGAACTCAATAAAATTGAAGAGGCCAAAAAAATTGAAGCTGAAAAATGTAAGACGACGATGGTGATGATGACGTTTTTAATTAGGTTAATGATTCTAAATATAATAATAACGACAATGTTGATGATTAAGATGAAAATAATCTCGATAGAGAATACATTATGATTGACAGATCAGCCAAAAGACCCGAAAAAAGACACATTCGCGGAAAAGTTGACGGCAAATGTGATTAAAAATCTGGAGGTGAAGGTGACGAACATACACGTTAGGTATGAGGACGCCTTCACCAATCCCAAGTATCCATTCTCTATCGGGGTGACCTTAAAAGAAGTTTCGTGTCAGGTTTGTATGCGTGTGATTGTGCCTGCGACTTTGGGCTGTGTTTGTTTGTTTGTTGGAATGGTTTTGTCTTAGTATGTACGTTAATTTGTCTTGAAATCGGTGTGTATGTGTGTTTTTGTATGAGTTTGTATGTCAGTGTGCATGTGTGTTTTTGTGTGAGTTTGTATGTCAGTGTGCATGCGTGTGGGTGTGTGTGGTGCACTAGTGAATGGAAATTGATTTAATGTTATTAGTTGTTTATGTAAATGAAGATGTTTCTCTATGTGAATTGTGAATGTATCTGGGTTAATAATAGTTGCTTACCCTGATTCATAATCTTATGATAAATTTAGTGCCGATGAATAATTTATGCTGTTGATGTTGGTGATGATGTCTGTGATGATGAAATCTCTGATGATGATGATGACGAGGATGATAATGATGATGATGATGATGATGATGACCGATGCAGACAACTGATGAAAACTGGAATGTGATGACCATTAAAGAAAATGCCAGCACCATACACAAGGTACTTGCTGTCTTGCATTAAAAATTTCTTTCATCATTTTCATCATGATTATCGTTATCTGCATCACCATCTACGCCATCAGTTACGTCATTTATATCATCATTTTTTGTATCTTTATCATTTACTGGGACTACAGTATCAACGCTACTCAATGTATCTTGATAATTGTTACTAGCATCGTTTGTGTTGCTATCATTTATGTCATCATCATCATCATCATCATCATCGATCATATAATCATCATCCTCGTCGTCGTCTTCATCATCTTTTCATCGTCTTCGTCATCTTTTCATAGTCAACATCTTCATTATCGACATTACATTCACTGTCGATTGATCTGTTTAATACACTCTAACTCACACAGATAGAACTTATACGAACACACACACACACACGCATATATGTATACACACAGACATACGTGTACACGCACATCCACACATACAAACAAACACACTAGACTTATTTACATTTTCAATTCAAGAAAATGCGATTTAAGCAGATCTTCTCATAAAGTAATTCTACAAATCTTTAATCAAACTCATCTTCATCATCGTCACCATCATCTTTTTCATAGTTTATACTTTTTCATGTTCTTATTCATCATCGTTGTCGACATCACAGTCAACAATAAATAACATGATACAATCATGTACTAAAAGGCGTGTCTTATACATACATTCTTAAGCGCTGAACTTTACATTATTCGTACAAGCATGTACGCACAAACATATTCACCTACATAAACATACATTTGCACACACACACGTACATGAACACACACAGTAGCTACGTAGACACACTTAAATAGAGGCTCACACATACATACGCATACACACATACATAAACACACACACACACACACATATACTCATACATACATTCCCAGCTATTGAAGTTGGACAGTTTCAGTTTGTATTGGAATCTGGTACCAACCAGTTACAGAAACCAGGACAGATCAAACATAATGACGACGTTGAAGAACAACATTGCTGTCACCACCACCAACAACAACAACAGCATCAACAACAACAGTTATGACATCAACAGCAGTCGTTTCAATCGCATTAATGATTATGTCTATGGTTCGTTATGCTATCCATCTGCTATGTTAATTACTTCTTGGTTAATTTTATTTTTCAACAGTTAAGCTGTCTTCTTACAAATGTTGATACTTCTTCTGCTGCTACTACTACTAGCAGTACTGCTGCTGCTGCTGCTACTATTACTACTACTGCTGCTACTGCTGTTGCAACTACTACTACTACTACTGTTTGCTTATACTCATTACTGATTTTACTATCGTGTTATTATTTCTGCTACGCTGCGATGATGATGATGATGATGATGATGATGATGTGAATGATAATGTGGGTGATGATGACGACGACGATAATGGTGATGATATTGAACAGTTGTCGAGCCGCTGACGTCAATAGCAAAGCTAAAAATGAATCCGAAACCGGAACAAGATGGCTTCCAGTTACCAAAGATCATATTTAGTGTCGTTTTTGAGGAAATTTGTATTGCTCTGCAAAAGATGCAGGTTTTATTATGTTTTGATCATTCGATCGATCAATCATTCGATCGATCAATTAATTAATCAATCAATCAATCAATCAAGGTAATCATTATATCACGTTACTGTGATCATCATTATTATCATTATTATTATCATTATTATTATTATTCGCCAGTACCAAACGATGTTGGAGTACTTGGACTCCTTCGAGAGGCTGACACTGTCCTCCAAGTACAGAAAGTATAGACCCATCGTTCCCAGGAGAAACAATGCTAAGATATGGTGAGTGAGTGAGTGAGTGAGTGAGTGAGTGAGTGAGTGAGTGAGTGAGTGAGTGAGTGGAGGAGTGGATTTAGTGAGTAAGTGAATGAATGAATGATTGGATCAATGAATGAATGAAGGAATGAAGGAATGAGTGAATAAATAAGCGAATATAATCTTGACTAGGATGTAATGGCAATGATGGTGACGACAATGATAATGGCAGTGATGATGCTGACGATGAGTACAACGATGGTGATAATGATGATGATAATGGTTATTATTCAAGGTGGAAGTTCGCGATGGACTGCGTGATGAATGAGTTGGTTCGTAGGAGGAGGAGGATGTGGTCCTGGCAAGTTCTCAAAGGTCATAGGTCAGTTGGCTGTCTCTCTTCTTTTTTTTATCTGTGTTTGTTTGTCCTTTCGTTCGTTTGTTCGTTTGTTTGTTCGTTCGTACCCTTGTTTGCTCATATTTGTTCGTTTGTTCATTTATTTATTCGTTTATACATTTATTTTATTGATTCATTTATTAATTCATTTTTTCATTCATTCATACTCATTCCTTCATTCATTCGTTCGTTCGTTTGCTCATTCATCCACAGAGAGTTATGCAGGCAATATAAGAAGTTGTACAAGCAGAAGCTATCAACCAATAAACCGTCCGCAGAATTGCTAAAAGAAATTGAGGTACCATAATGATGATGATGATGATGACGACGATGATGACGTCATTTATGGCGATGAAATGATGATGATGATAGTTATGATTACGACGGTTACAGCGATTAACTCGATGATAATGGCACAATAAAGGATAATTAAAATTTTCAGAAATGTGAGAAGGAGTTAGATGTACTGAACATTACGATAGCTAGGAAGCAAGCCGAGATGGAGGTTGTTGTTGTTGTTGATGTTGATGTTGTTGTTGTTGGTGGTGGGTGACGTCATTATTGTTGTTGATGTTTTTGTCTTCTACTGTGGATATTCTTGATGCTATAGCGTTATTTTGTCTGTTTATTTATCATCATTACAATTACATTACATTACAATCACTGCCCACGTGACTATCATTTTTTTTTATCATCAACTTTCTCATCATCCATCAACATAGTCGCCATCATCACCTCCTTCACCATCATCACCATCGTCATCATCATTGTTGACAGGCTGCCAAAGAAGGCCTAAACAGTTCGACCACATCAAAAGGATGGTTCTCTGGCTGGTTTGGGAAGAGTTCCAAGTCATCATTGTCGTCGTCGTCATCTCTTGATGGCGATGATAAAACTATGGGTGTGTTTTTGTTGTTGCTGTTGCTGCTGTTGTTGTTGATGTTGCTGTTGCTGTTGTCGTTGATGTTGCTGTTGTTGCTGTTGTTAATGTTGTTGTTGTGATCTTACTAAACTTTTTAAAGCCACCATCACAATCGTCGTCATCATTCCGGACTTTAAATTTGCCGACGTTTCAATCTTAATCATCGTTACAATCATCACCTTCAAATTCTTCATCACCGTCACCATCATTACCATCATTCCCACCATCATTACCACATGTTAATATTCATCAACACATTGCTCGAAATGAGAAATTTTTTCTTTCTCGAAATCAAGGTGACAAAGTCCAAGAGTTGATGACGCCAGAGGAAAAGAGGAAGCTGTACGAAGCTATCGGTTACCAAGAGAGTGCTGATGCTGTATATCCTAAAGAGGTTGGTTGATTGGTTGGTTAGTTGGCTGGCTGGCTGGTTGGTTGATTTGTTGGTTGGCTGATTGGTTAATTGGTTGGCTGGCTGGTTGATTGGCTGATTGATTGGTTGACTGATTGGTTGGTTGATTGTTTGCTTGGTTTGTTGGCTGATATTTCTGTCCGATCGATCCGTTCTGTTGATCCGTTCGGCTGATTGTCCTGTTGTTTTGATTAGGTGGTTGAATGATTGGCGAGTTGACTGATTAGAGATTGAATTGTTTTGGATATTTTTGTTGCGGCGTGTTGATTAACTTTCAATCGATTGAATGACCTCAGTACGTTGCGATCAACTTGATTCTGATGTTGAAAAAGTTAAGGATTCAGCTGGTTGATACTTCTGTTAAGTAAGAATTTCTTATTTTTGTATTTTTTGTTTCATACATTCAGTGATCTATCCATCTTGCCATCCATTCATTCGTCTGTCCATTCGTTTATTCATTCATTTGTTGGTGCGAAAATTCATGCATTCATCCAGTCATTCATCTGTTCATCCATCTTTTTATACGTTCATACATCCGTTTGTTCGTTCCTCCATCCATTCATCTTGCCATCCATCCATCCATACATCCATCTATCCATCCATCCATCCATCTATCCATCCATCCATCCATCTATCCATCCATCCATCTATCCATCCATCCATCCATCCATCCATCCATCTATCCATCCATCCATCCATCCATCCATCCATCTATCCATCCATCCATCCATCCATCCATTCATCCATTCGTCAGATCCATGAATGTCCTTGACCTTCAACTGGATAACGTTGAAACTCTCATGCAACAACGACCTGCCGCTGATGCTTTGAGGTTCGCGATGATGATGCTGATGATGGTGGTGATGATTATGATGATGGTGGTGACGATAATGATGCTGACGACGATGATAATGACGACGAAGACGATGATGATAATGATACCTTTAACAGAGTTGTGGCCAGTATGTACCGCCTGTCCGTCAGAGGTCAGCCTGCAATTGTCGGTCAGCCGCCAATGAAGTCATCATCATCGCCACCTTCGTTATCATCGTCGTCGTCACAACCTCCTTTGATGATAACGAGTGATGTCTGTGAAGCAAGTAAGATGATGACGAGCTTTATTATCATGTATCTATTATCATCACTGATATCATTTTCTTCGGAGTTTTTAGAATTAGTGCCATCGTCTTGGTCATTAGTATCATGATATCATCAATCAATATTATCACTATCATCATTACCGTCATTACTATTATCATCATCTCATTGTCATCTTCATCGCAACCAACCAGCCAATCACATGCTGGATCTGTTATTTGAAACAAATCCATTGGACGGCAAATGTGACACGAGGGTAGTACTCAGTGCTCAACCAATGAAAATCATCTATCATGCTGTAAGTTCTCTTTTAAAGAGAAAATAATGATGATGATGATAGGATTGTATGATGATGATGATTATGATGATGGTGATGATTATGATGATGGTCATATCTTTCTTGCAGGCCACTGTGATATCGTTGGCAGACTTTTTCAAGCCTCCTGAATCTATTCATTTGATGCAGTTTGTTCTTTCACTTAATCAATCATTCATTCATTCATTCATTCATTCTTTCTTTCATTCATCCATTCATTCATTCATTCATTCATTCATTCATTCATTCATTCATTCATTCATTCTTTCATTCATCCATTCATTCATTCATTCATTCATTCATCCATTCATTCATTCATTCACCCATCCATTAGATACACCATTCCTCATTGTATCATAGAAATAATTGAAGCAACGAGCGAACGAACTACGCAGATTGCAGGCGGCGGCATTCGCCCAGCTGGAGCGCATGAAGGAGCAGACAGTAGCAGGCCTGCAGTACGCCATCGACCAGAAGAAGTTTACTGAGGTGAACATCGATGTCAGACCTACCAGGGTTCTGCTGCCTCGTTATGGAGTCTACACTGAGTTAGTTGGGCGATTCGTTGGTTGCTGGTTGGTTGGTTGCTGGTTGGTTTGTTTGTTGGTTTGTTTGTTGGTTGGCTGGTTGGTTTGTTGCTGGTTGATTTGCTGTTGAATTGAAAAATTGATTGGTTGTTTCGTTGCGCAATTAATTGGAAGTTGAGTTGCCAACCAATAACATCGCTAGATAAATTCGTATTGCATGCTGTTACTGAAATTTATAAGTGTATAAATAAATGGTTGAACAAACAAACGAACAAACGAACGAGCGAACGAACGAACGAACGAACGAATAACTGAATGATTGAAGCAGATGAAAGCATGCAGATTTTGCAGCAAGCTAAATAATACAATCGATACCGTAACCAACCACCACCTTAAGGAACTGTGAAATGTTGGTCGTTGACCTGGGTCGCCTGTCAATCATGAACGAAAACACACGTCAGCTCCTCCCACAAACACCTACGTCTTCATCCTCGCAAAGTCAAGATGTCGTTGGAGAAGAGGAATTCTTCGATTCATCCGCCACTGTCGTAAGGATTTATTGTTATTTTTAATTGATCTTCATTCATTCATTCATTCGTTCATTCATTCATTCATTCATTCGTTCATTCATTCGTTCATTCATTCATTCATCCATCCATTGATTCATTTAATACCTTTTTGTTATACCCATTAAATAGACATCCAGATCGTTGGACGAGATAAAGCAGACGGCTTATGACCTCTTCAATGTTAAAGTTCAAAGTTTACAGGTGCTGTTCGTTAATGCAGGTTAATGTTCTGCCGTTGGTTTTGTTGTTGTGTTGTTTTTTTGTTGGTCTTCCATGAGAATTGGTTTACTCATAATCGCAACGTAATGAGAGTGCGTGAGTTAATACGTTATTCACCGCTGCCTTTGTAGTACCATGATCCAGGATTATTCCTATAGTAATTTCTCACAATTCACACAATTTCTATTTGATATTCGTCATATAATAAATCAACATTTAGAACGTCAATAGAGAAAAATAGAATGTAATAATTAATTTGAAGGTGAAAGATGGGACGTCACACCGCGATCATCGGCGTCATCGTCTTCAGGCGCGCCGGTGGCCGCTACGACGACCACGTCAATATTTTTGACGTCAATGTACGTCTTGAAGCCCGTTGACATTAACATCAACTTGCACAAGTGTCTCCTCGAAGATGTACAACTACCTAAGTGAGAATTTGTTGATGTGGTTATTTAGATGCCTTCTTTTCGAGTTTAACTTTTAAATTTGCTTTAGATGAATCATTTTTTTTTAAATTGCAAGATTCAAACATTCATTCATGGAATTATTTTTTAAGATTGCGTGTGATTGGTGAACTTCCGTCCTTGACATTGAGCATCTCTGATAAAAGATTGGTTGATATAATTAGCTTGCTCACTAGCATACCCTTCCCACAGTCCGACGAAGAAGATCAGCTGACCAATCAGAACTTGGAAGAGGAAGATCCAGAGGTTTGATTGGCTGTTATTTGTTGTTTTTTTGATTGATCATGATTTATATATATTATGTAATATAAAAATTACTTTAGCTAATTCAGTGATTTGTTTTTAATTTTGTTATAAATAACAAGATTATTCAAAATTTTCAGCCCGTGATTATTATAACTTATTGATGTATTTTTCTGATGAATCTGTTAAATTTGATAAATTTATTGATCAAAATAGTACAACATCATGTTGATAAATTTCATTTAAAAGATGAAAACAGTGGACTTGAAAAACTTCACTATACAAGAGGAGTCGACGCATGAAATAACCAAAGTGATCCAGAAGATACCACAAACCGATAACGTTATTACGTTCTCATCCACGTTCTCATCCTCTCTCTTATGAGATATTCATTTATTTTGTTTTTTATTCATTCACTCATTCATCTACCCATTCATTCATTCATCCATTCATTCATTTTTTTATTCATTCAATTATTTATTCCTTTATTTATTTATTCATCTATCCATTTTTTCACTCATTTATTTAGATACG